AGCTATAAACTTTGAAGAATTCAAAGAATTTTCTTAGTCATGAGTTTTTTATGCTCATGAATGGTGGTGAATAAAAAATGGTAAAAATGGAGCATGCGTAGGGAGAGGCAATTTTGCCTAATGGTGGTCAGTGGGGACTCCAGATGATTAGTCATGGATGACATAGCTCATGAACATGGAGGGAGAGATTGTTAGGTTTTGGTTCTTAGCAGGAGTAGACTCAACATTTGATATATTGGGATTTGGCTAAGTAACATGACAATTTGATCATTTTTGTTCAACGCACTTGTAGTCAGATTGGTATTTAAATCATATAAAGATTTAAGTTGAAAGATTATATTAGGGTAATTTGGATCATTCTATATCATATCTTCTTTAAGAGAGTACTCTTGGAGAGAGAAATATAGAAAGTGGGAAAGAAAATAGGGTTGGATAAGCTTCTCATTTTGTCGATTTGTTGAAAATTCCACATCATCTTGGAGATCTTGAGTGGGTCCTTCTGCAAGTGAGTGCAGAGCTTGTGGCATAAACCTTTTGCATTTTTTGCATTTATCTATTTGTTAAGCCTCACTTGTTGACATAGTGAAAACATCTCTCCTTAATTGTAGAGGTAAGCGCAGATTGTGGCTGAACCATGTTATCTTTTGTGTTCCAACCCCAAGCTCTGTTGGGAATCGATATGAATTATTGAGGGTCGATTGGCGGAATTGCATGCGTGGATAACTAATTAAATCTAATCTGATGCAGGATAATTAATCTATGGATGTATGGATCAACCACACAAGGCAATAACTTATTAAGAAATTCGCACACTAGCAGAAACACAACAATAATCAAGAAGGAAAACAAACCATCAGAAAGATGAAGATATAACATGATCCAGCTCGGCTACATATACAGAGAGAAAATGTGTCGACTTTATTACTAGATATTACATGATATTCTTCCTTCTTGCAATCTACAAGAAAATCCAAAAGTATCATGCTGTTGATCTAATAAAAGTCACGCTCAAACCCTAGAATTTAACATTTGTTTTTGTTTTTTTGCACCATATCAATCACTTTACAATTATGCAACTTCTCTTTTTGGCTCTCTTGCTTGCAACTTCTCTTTTTGGCTCTCTTGCTTTCTTACTTAACCCTAGGCCTGAGGAATAACCCTATTTATAGAGTTTATCCATCTAAAAAAGACAACCATCAGTTCTATCAAAATTCAAACTCTGAATCTGACTAAACCATGCTCGTCAACTGTAAACAATGACAGTCTGAACACCTGAGCGAAACCGTTGATGGTTACTCTCAACAGTTCCAATCAATCCTCTTTTCAAAGATAAAACTTAGACTTTTATAAAGACACCTTTGAAATTGATGATTCTTGGAACCTTCACATTGTACGTTGTAAATTATAAGGATAGAACACAAGACATCCCATGTCTTCTGCTCCATCTCCCAAAGGGCTAAAAGGAAACTACCACTGCTTCTTGGTTGATGCAAAACCCTCTCTTGGTTGATTCAAACACCAAGCTTGACTCTAGGCTTGATGCAGACTTTAACATGACTTGATCTGAAGTGACTCCATCGAAACTTTCTTTAGGAACCCAAATCTTGTGCGAACTTTTCTTCCTTGTGATTGAATACCTCTTTGAAGACAAAGCTCCACCTTGAACTATGTTCCCCTCTAGCGACCTGTGTGAGCCATCTACACACTTCTTTCCAACTAGGCTTAGATAACTTTCATGGCCTTCTTTCCTACTATGGTTAGATAACTTTCACAGCCTATAGTGATGATTCTCTTGTACACTTGAGTTTGTTACGCTTAAGTATCTCTAATGATATAGGATTATGTCTTTTCGAGAATCAATTGAACTCGTCCAAAGCAAGCATCTTTCCACCCTTTCATACCACTCTAATTGTTTGTTTAATTGCAACTTTGCATTCCGTGTCATTTTCCATGTAAACAGTCTCTTAGACTCCCTTTATCGAGGAATTAAACATGCTAGTCGGAGAATATATGTGAGCAGATGAACTAGAAATCAATAACCAACCATCATGAGAAGTATTCTTCTTCTCAGAAACCATCCACACTTTGGTTTGTTGACCTTCTGAACACTAGCTGCATTGGATGAGCGACCAAAATAGCTTCGTCCTTTGTATGGCGCTTCAACCACTCTTTTTTGCATGCAGCCCATCTTAAAGTGACCATTGCTGTGAAAAAAGTGACACCTCTTAGCTTTCGACTATGTTCCACTATAAAAAAACTCTATGACTTGTCAATTCTGTATTTGACTTTGACCAAAAATCTAGTTGTCTTGAAAGTTCCTAAGTAAAGAGTGTCACTTTTACCTCATCCATGGTTAGAGTCTACAGAATTTATGTAACCCGACTTCCATAAACTATTGTGAAGAAAATAAATAATATTATTGCCTTATCCTCATTTTTTAGCTTCATCCGAGTCGCTACTAACTCGGTAACAATCATGTGTGAGTAGTTCAAATGTTCCAAAATAGTTGTACCCTCTTTTATGCACCATCTATATAATTGTTGCTTGTAACACTGCTTATAGTAGACTCTTGAACATGTAAAATCATTTGAGCTCTTCCTAGAGATCTATAGTTGTTACCTCATTTATCATGTTATACTTAAGTTCAGGAAGGTATAATTGAATCGTTCTATATGTCTTCTGATCACTTTCAACCACTCTTCATCTTTCATCCTTTCTAGCTTTGCCTCTACTTCGAGGAAGGATAGATTTAAATCATGTTAGTATGCCAAAGTCCAAAGTTTCACTTTCCATTAAATTTCTCAACCTCAAACTTTATAGAAGAAGAACGTTCACGCGCGTCTGTCATGAGATTAATCTTTAGCGAGACGAGTTATATTCCAATAATCCGTCTCTGATACCAATTGTTGGGGATCAATACCAATTATTGAGGATTGGTTGTAAAAGCGTGCACATAGATAAACTACATAGATAAACTAATTAGATGTACTCTGATGCAAGAGAATCGATCTATTGATGGACGCATCAACCACATAAAACAAGGAAAAAAATGCATACACAAGCAGAAACACAATGGCAGTCGAGTAAACAATAACATCCAAGTGCAAGACAAGGATATAATGCGATTCAGCTACCACCTACGTTTGTGGAGAAAAACGAGTCAACTTCATTAGTAGAGGTTAGAGGATGTTCTCTTTCTAGCAATCTGCAAGAAAATCCACAAGAATTCTCCTCTTGATCTCACAAAACTCACATACAGATCCTAGGATTTCACCTTTAGTTCCATTGCATCCTATTCAACTACCCATATTATGCAACTTTTCTTTAAAGTCTTGCTTTCTTGCAGTTGAATGAAAACCCTTTAATTGTATTATGAAATCTCTTGGGCTTATATAGGCCCCTACAAAACACAACTTACAAATAAGTCCTTATATATTACTAATATGTCACTAATATGTCAACACTCCTCCTCAAGATGGGCGAAAGATATCCACTAAGCCCATCTTGTCACATCCTCTAACCATATTTACTGAGCAAAGTCCCTTAGTCAGACAATCTGCTGCCTGGTCCTTAGTCGAAACATGACTTAGCTCCAGTAGTCCACTATCCAACTTCTCTTTGATGAAGAACCTATCGATCTCGATGTGTTTGGTTCTATCATGCTGCACTGGCTTGTTGGCGATACTGATGGCTGACTTGTTATCACACTACAACTTCATCTTAGCTCATTGATCCAGCTTCAGCTCCACCAGCATACTCTTCAGCCATAGCAACTCAGCAACTCCTAAGGCCATAGCTCTATACTCTGCTTCAGCTGTTGATCTCTCTACCACTGATTGCTTCTTGCTCTTCCACGAGACCAAGTTGCCTCCTATAAAGATACAATATCCTGAGGTGGACCTCCTGTCATGAGCACAACTAGCCCAATCGGAGTCACAATAACCCTCAATGCTCATATGTTCATTCTTCCTGAAGATTAGCTCTTTTTCGGGGGCACTCTTCAAATACCTCAGAATCTGGTACACTACGTCTATATGACCCTTCCTCGGATCATGCATGTAGCGACTCACCATGCTCACTGCAAAAGAGATATCAGGACGTGTGTGACTCAGATAGATCAACCTGCCCACCAGCCTTTGGTATCTGTCACGATCAACTGGTTCTCCAGCTTCAGCACCCAGCTTGAACTTCTGGTCGATCGGTGTAGTTGCAGGTTTGCACCCTAACA